AAAGCCCCCCCCCCCCCAAAAAAAGTTCAGAGTCAGCTTTGTATGAATGAATAGTTATGAATGAGGAAGAGCTTTACTGAACAGTTTTCTGAGTTGATTGGGATGCCAGGCAAAAGTGTTCTGGTGGTGATGGTTCTTTGTTCTTCCTAGATCTTTTCTCCTTAGACATTTTATCACCAAATATTCTTTCCACCAGCCTCCAAGATCAGCCCTTTCTTATCCCAGGCTGGGTTAGTTTCACTTTGGAGTCCTGCTCTGGTGCCCAACTGAGAGGCTTTGCTACTCAGGCCTTCACTGTCCATCCACCCTTCAATGGGGCTTCCCTGCCCGTGGCCCCACTGCCCCTCTTACACCTCCTCACCTTTACTAAGATCTTCCCTTTTGTCTGTCTATAACGTAGTCACTAGCCAATTCTTAAGGTTAATTGCAGTTTTCATTGGTGCTTTGTCATCTTCATCCATGGGTTTAAGCGCTCATACCATCTAAATGTGCTCAGTAACCACCTGGCCTTAATGGCAGACAGATTCATTTTCTGTGATTCAGATCTCATCACCAGTGTTTCTTTTCTGTGTGGGAGTCCTCCACTTGAGAGCTCGTTGAAAGCACAGAGGTTAAGAATATGGCCTCAGCCCATACAGATTGCCCCTGACCTTGTGATCCCAAGAGGCACAGACCTGGCCCCAGTGAGGTTCCTGGGTTTCCAGTGATTAAAAGGAGCAGGCTCATGAAAGGAGTCTGGAAAGGAATAATGTGCATTTTTGCAGGTGGTGTTTTTTCTGCCGCTCTCCATCTTCTAGGTTCTTAAGATGTGGGGCTGAGCAAAATTCTGCAGATATGATCTTTATGTCACATGACCACCATTTTTGGTTGCTCAAATCCCCAAAGGTTACCTCTCCTCTTTTTTTCATTGAAGAATTACTAATTCTCTCTTAAGCTTGACTCTATTCATAGTTTCTCTGTACAAGCTTTAAATATTGGCTTCCCATTAGCCAGCAAACTTAAAAAACAAAACAAAAAAAGCTTTCCTTTTTCCTCTTCCCTTTTGTCTTGTATCTGCAGTCTTTCCCAATTTTCTAAAGGAGCTTCAGCAGTATAACAGAAACATATCCTTTAGACCAAGCCGCGTTCTGTTCTTTCAAGTTTACACTATCCCCTGCCACTTTTTTATTCCTCTCCTCTCTCTGTCTCATCTCTGCCTCTTCTCCCTTGTTCTTTTTTTCCCGTTTCTTTCCTCCTTGTCTTTTTCTCCTTGTCTTCCCATATATGCCTCTTTTCTCTTACTTTTATCCTATCCACTCTCTCCTATCCACTTTTAAAAGTTTTGCAAGAGTATACTAAAGAACAAGAAGAAAAGAAAGTCTCAAGGGATTAGAAAAGTCAGTCTGGTAAATGGATGATCGTTTGTCAACCCTTCTTCCCCTTCTGATTCCAGAGCTCTTCGGTATCCCCATCAGCCAGTTTCCGAGGTGCTGAGAAGCACAGAAATTCCACAGACTACTCCTCTGAGAGCAAAAAGCAGAAAACTGAAGAAAAGGAAATTGCAGCTCGTTACGTAAGCTCGTTTACCTTTGCTGTGGGCTGGGGCTGGGGGTAGCTTGCCTTGCTTTTTTATCCGCAGCCATTTTACCCTTTGACCAGGATACCACCATCTGATATGAGAAAAAAATATTTATTGCATTTATAGTTCTGTCTGCATTGGGTAGCAAAGTCCTGTGTGTGTGCAGGTGCGTGCACGTGTGCATATGAGAGGATAAAGTGCTTCCTTGGGCAGCTGACAGGAAACTTGGGTGTTCCATGTTGTTATTTCTATAGGTGGATTTGCTTCTCCCTGTATATTTCAGGGTGGTCGTATTTTCTTAGGTTAACTAGAGATGTTAAGGAAAAATGTAAAATCACAGAAAATTTGTTAAAATACCTCGACCCATGCTGAGGAATATACCAAGTTTTGTGGAATATAATTTTGCAAAGATATCCAGAATATCCCTAGCACGAGTTGAAGCTCATTTTCAACCAGTGGCTGGGCAGGTCAGAGAAGTGAAAGGGAGCAGGCTGGATGGGGTGAGAGAGAGAAAGAGAGAGAGAGAGAGAGTATATGCGTGTCCGTGTGTCCGTCCGTCCATCCCTCGGCTGCTTCCCCTGCTAGGGCCTTGCAGGACTGCTGGCCTTATGGGAAGCTGAAAATCTGGATTCAGGCACGCCCGTTTGTAGACTGGATAAGCCTGGGCATGTCAGTTTGCAGCTTACACTGTAGAGTAATAAGAAAGCCATCAGCTTCAATTTTTTAAACTGGAAAGTGGAATCATAGTACCCACCTCATAACATCATCGTGAGGATTAAAGAAAGTAGTACATTTTACAGTGTTTAACACTGTTTGGTACAGTTCATTTTTATAAGATATGAGGAATTAGTCCAAACTTATCTAGGGTAAATCTGACTAAAAATGTGACATTTTTGCTGGGAGAGGAGATAATGCTTCTCACTTGTCAATGCAGGATAGTGATGGCGAGAAGAGTGATGACAACTTGGTGGTTGATGTTTCCAATGAGGTATGTTTATGGCCTGTTTAACTTGCTGATCTTACCAGCTGTAACAAAGACTAGTGCCCAATTAGCATCAACAGTGTTCTTTTAATTTCCAAAGGGACTCACTTTTTATTTAAATTTCATTATCTATCTATCTATCTATCTAATCTAATTTTATATGTTGCTGGTCCTTTTTTTGTTGCTGTTTTTTCTATGAAGTGTGAGTGTCTTTTTCTACCACAACAAATGCACACCAGATGTCTGTGGTCGGCATACACAACTCACTGACCAGCAACTTGCAGATTGGTGGGATTTTGATTTTTTGTTTTTGTTTTAAATATGTACTGTAAATATTGTAGTATTTTGAGGGGCCTCAATACTGAATATTTTTTCAGCAATTTCAGTGAGTCTTGTTATCCATTCCAGAACGTTTTGCACTTCTAAGCTGTTAAATGCTTTTGGCTAGAAATGTCCACACCTGAGGACCCCAGCATTGCGAGTGCATTATGCTGCGTTACTACCCATGATGTTCCTTTGTAGGATCCATCTTCCCCTCGAGGGAGCCCAGCACATTCCCCGAGAGAGAATGGCCTTGATAAGACACGCCTGCTCAAGAAAGATGCCCCAATCAGCCCAGCCTCTATTGCATCTTCCAGCAGTACTCCTTCCTCCAAATCCAAAGAACTTAGCCTTGTAAGCGGCTCTTCACCATCTTTCTTAGTGTTGCCTATTTCAAGATGGTTGGGTTTGTTTTTGATTTTTGTATTTTTCATATCTTTCTATGAGATTTTTGTTTCCAGGTGCATGTGTGTGTTCAGTATTTAAGTTTAACTGACAAAAGTGTTTTGGGAGCAGAATGGGTTACTAGCTTGGTGTTGGTGGGTGTTTGTTTTGTGAGTCTTTTTGCAAGGGTAGGAGAGGGGTGTGGGGAAATTGAGTAAAACATGTCTTAGCAAAGATGGAAAATAAATGCTGGGGGTTACAGAGATGGTTTTGTTGCCTGTGGTTTATGGTAGATTTAGTTTGGGGCTGGGATGTGATTTTGTTGTTAGCTTTGTTTGAATTACTGAGCTATATGACTGTAATAATTTTCCCTTCCTATGTACAAAGTAATCTATCATTTATAAAAGTCTACCTTGACTCATACCACAAATCACAAATGCAAAAATGAACTGCTCACAAGTCAGGATAATCTCCCTGTAACCCCCTTCTTCTGTGGCTGTGCAGTTAAATTGCATTTTTGCACAGTATTTTTTCCTCACCAGTTATTTCCTTGTAACATGACAGTTTTTTTTAAAAAAGGCATTCAGTTTTCAAATAACCATTTGAATTCATAGCTATAGTAAAGGAAATTTCCTCAGTTTGTCTGAAATTAGGGGGATATGTCTAGCAAAGGGCTAGATTAGGTTTTTTTCCTGTTGCTTTCTCTTGGCCTTCTAGCCTTCTTTTAATGGTACCACCTGAATGCTGAGTCTCTGTGACAGTTCAGGTTTGGATCTTTTCTAATGGGACCTGTTTACCAGGAATCCTCTTGTGACATGAACCTGGGAGCCCAAATTAAACCGTTCAGTTTTAAACCAAAGCCATCTGCAAGTGGCCGGTTGCAGTCAGGACATCATGGTTTGTCAGCCTCCTTCAGCCTCTGTCTGACTCAGACCAGTTTCCTAGAAATGATCTACTCTCTACTCTAAATTCAGCTTCAGTTGATGTCCTCCTGGACATTAATTCTGAGTCCTCAAGGAACTCTTTTTTTTTTTTTTCCTTTTTGTCTTTTTTCGTGACCGGTAACGGGATCGCAACCCTCAGTGTCGCGCCCGCACCGCGCTCAACCAGTGAGCGGACCAGTCTCTATATGGGATCCGAACCCTCGGCGGGAGCACCGCCGCGCTCCCAAGCGCCGCACTCTACCGAGTGCGCCACCAGGCCGGCCCCTTTTTTGTTTTTTGTTAGCTCTTTTTAATTAATGAAAGTGAAGGTCCAAGCTGAGCACCCTCTTTCATTTCTCTTCTTCCTTGCCTTTTTTGTTTTCCTTTTTCTTTTCTTTACCTTTTTAATGTTTAACATCATTAAAATCACGTTCTAATTGCTGGCACATTTTGTTTCGTCTCTTGTTAGAATGAAAAATCTACTACTCCTGTTTCAAAGTCTAATACCCCTACTCCACGAACTGATGCGCCCACCCCAGGCAGTAACTCCACTCCCGGACTGAGGCCTGTACCTGGAAAACCACCAGGAGTTGACCCCTTGGGTTAGTAAGAAGAAAGATTTTTTCTGTATGTTTATGGTTTTGTTGTGAAAGAATTTAAAAAGTGCAGTACATTAAACTTACTAATGACCAGCACTAAATGTCTGTTAGACAAAATTATTTAATCCGGACCAAGTGCCAGACATCAACTCTGTCTGGCACATGACAGGTATTCAGTGACATAAGGTGAATGAACGAACCCCTCTGAAGTTTGAATGACTTTTGAGAATATTAAAATAAACTCACTTGAATCATGAATTTTACTTTTTTTTATTGTGTTTAAGAATGTCTTTCAAATAGCTTCCTGTGTTCTTGGTTTTTCTCTTTTTTCCTTCCATTTTGATCTCAGCCTCGAGCCTAAGGACCCCAATGGCAGTACCTTGTCCATATCCAACCCCATTTGGGATTGTGCCCCATGCTGGGATGAACGGCGAGCTGACCAGCCCTGGAGCCGCCTATGCTGGGCTGCACAACATCTCCCCACAAATGAGTGCTGCCGCAGCTGCCGCCGCCGCAGCCGCCGCCTATGGGAGGTCACCAGTGGTACGTTTACAGTGTGGCTTTTATAAAGTAATATTTCAGAGTGTAGAGGATTGTCGTACAAATGAGTGCTGCCGCAGCTGCCGCCGCCGCAGCCGCCGCCTATGGGAGGTCACCAGTGGTAAGTTTACAGTGTGGCTTTTATAAAGTAATATTTCAGAGTGTAGAGGATTGTCGTACTTTTTTTTTTTAAATGTTGTCCGTATAATATGAGATACTTAGAGAGGATCTGTGTGTATTTCTAAATTAAGCTACATGCAGTTAGTTATATCTTGAGATCCATTTTCTTTTGTAAGATGAGGGAATTTCTTTTTTATTTCATGTCTTTTGTTTTTAACTAGTATTGTTTTGAAAATTTTAAACGTATGAAATTAGATCACATAGTACCGTGAATATGATGAACCCATTTGTTTCCATCATGAGCTTCAGTAATCGTTAGTATAATTTTTTAATGTATGTTCCACCCCCAAATAGGTTACCGTTAAATCCTAAACATCCTATCATTTAATCAATAAAAACTTCTGTATATATCTCTAAAATATTTTATATATATCTGTATATATCTCTAAAATATTTTATATATTCTGTATATATCTCTAAAATATCTCTATATATTTTTAAAGAATCTCCTGTCCCACGTTTTAGAAAAGATTTTGAGTAGGATGAAACAAGTTAATGTAACTGTTTCTTTTTGTTGTTGTTCTCGGGAAAAATTCTAGGTGGGATTTGATCCACATCATCACATGCGCGTGCCAGCAATACCTCCAAACCTGACAGGCATTCCCGGAGGAAAACCGTGAGTTCCTTTATGCCTTTGTAGTCATTGTGTGCCAGGCCTTGGTACACCAGCCCCCTAGACCCTGAGCACTGCTCTGCAGTGCTGGGGCTTCCCGTGACCTGCATTTTTTCCTCATGAAGTATTTTTCATTCTGTCTTAGCACAGGAAAAGAGGTAATGAGGTGGGGGTTTGTATGTTCATTTAAAAATCTTGAGCTTTTAATATGGAAATGCAAATTGTAGAGACATCTCTAGCAGTCAGGTCTTCTCTATATCTGTTGCTGATTTCAAGGCAATTCTTTGTTCAAAAAGTCTGATTATTATGTGCAAAACTGGATGCTCAAAATTTGAATGTGTTGGTAAAAGACATGCCAAACTTCAAAGGCTGAAAAGAAGTAAGGGCAGTCTCATGCTCCGTTCTGTTTCCAGAAAAGGTGACTTGCTCAGTTGGCTTCTTAGGCTGTGAGCTGGGCATCTGGAGTCATAGCCTTCTTGAGTTATGAAGACAAAATACAGCACGTCAGTTGTTGCAGCCTCCTCTGGTACATTCTAGTCTCTCACGTATCTCATTCCACATCCTTCGTTCCAACCCGGTGCACTTTCTTATTACTAACTAAGCACAGTTCTCTCTGCGAATTGGCTTGATCTACCAGATACAACGAAGAGACTTTACTATAAAGTAGCACTGGCTCTTTCTTTAAAATCCCAGCTGGATTTTCCTCTTCTCTCTTCAGAAGCATCCCCTGCAGACCGACCCTCCTTGCATTGTTAGTCCCATGCGTATGTTTATTCTCATCACTCTTCACACTGGTGTCCTCTCTGTCACTATACTACATTAGTCCCATGCGTATGTTTATTCTCATCACTCTTCACACTGGTGTCCTCTCTGTCACTATACACGCCATACACATGCCGCCTCCCTGGTCTCTGGTGCTGTCTGAACTTGACCCTCAGTAGCAGCTAAAGGCTTCCCTGCCTTGAGGCATTTGCTCTTACTAGTTCTTCTTCCTGTGGCACTTTTTCTTGGGCTTACTGTGTCACTGATGTCTCTGAGATGTCATCTTACCAGAGCCTTCTGACTGGACACCACTCTCTAAAATTTCATGCTTCTCTCCCTTCCTCCCCCACTTTTTTTTATTCCCCTACCTTTTTAATGCTTATTTATAGCCATTATATACCTCTCCCTACTTGAATAGAAGTTCTGTCAGAGCAGAGCACAGCTTTCTGCTATTTAGTTACAGAAGTTGCTCCACTGCTTAGAATGGTGCCTGGTTCCTTTCTGCCATCCTGGTGGTTGGTGCTTACAGTATATATTTGTTCAATGAATGAATATGTGCCGAACTCTCCTTCTCCGAGTTCCCATTGTTTGTTTCTTCACTACTATACACTCAGATACTTAGTCGTCACACCGGTGTTTCCTGCGTGTCCTCTTTTTCTATGTTGCCTATTCCCTCAGTGCTGAACATACCTGATCTTGACCCTTTCCTCACTTTCCATCTGATGAATCATATTCTTGATTCTTCCTTCTGTGACTGACTTCTCTACAGACTCTACCCTAAACTTCCCTGTTGCATTAAACACAGTGCCAGCTCCATAGCCTAGTTGCTCAGTAAATATTTGCCTGATTAATAAGAGAGACAAGGCAAATTAGACTTTGAGTTCCTTGAGAGTTGAAGGTATAAATATCAATTATGATAAAATTCTGTGTACCTGTGTGTGTTCTGCAAATAGTTGTTGACTGACTGGCAAGTCTTGTTGACCAAGAACTCTTATGTATTTGAAGGTGAAAGTTTGGTCTGTTTCAAGCACTGATTAAATAACAAGGTCTTAGGATTAATCAAATAAGGACTTAAGTACCTGTGAGTTCCATATAAATTTGAAAGAGAGATCGAGGGGTTCCTTTAGGGAAGAAGTACCATCCCTATACAGTGAGGATTTTTGAGAAGTCTTGTTCATGGGAGTTATGGTGTCACATCTTATGCAATTGGCAAATGACACCTCACCAGGAATACCAGAAAATGTGTGGTGTGGTCACCGGAGTATGGGTTTGGGGGTATGACAGATCCAAGTTTGAATTTTGATTCCACCAGTTGATGACTAGGAAGAGTGAGTTTACAGACAGTTTCTTTACTTTGTGAGCTTCATTTGGCTCATGCATAAACAAGGAGTGGCACCTCCTCAACAAGAAGGATGTGAGGATGGAGTAAGATAATAAGTGATGTGTTCAGCACCATGTTTAGTACAGGGTGGCTATTCGCTCAACTCCAGCATCCTTTCCTGTTCTCCTTTGCCCCACAGTATTACTTATTTCTGAACTACTCATGCAGTAGAAGGTGCAATGCTTTGTAGAGGAAGAAATGGCAAGAAGATTGGATTGAGTAAATTAGATTCCCACTCTTTCTGTTGTTGGTATGTCTTTATGTAACAGGACATAAAAATTCGCATTCATTTATGCATGTGGAGATAATATTTATATATTTTTATAGCAGAAATGATTATAACGATTATGTGGCTCTCCAGATCATAAGATACAGGACTGTGAATATCTTTCAACAGAAAACCTTTTTTAAGTGTACTAAAACATAAAACATAATAAATTACCTAAAGGTCTCCCCTACCACATACACTCACAAAGTAACTGCCTTTCTCCAGAAAGACTTATATCTCTGTCCTAATTATTTTTACAAAATGAATTGCTAGATATTATCAAAAATTATAATTAAATGCATGTTTCAAACTAATGAATAAAGTAGCATTTATTTGATAATCCATATTGAGTCCTCTTGTCTATTCAGGTGAATTAGCAAGGGTTCCACTCAGTATGTAATTGGAATGACAACATAGTTTAATTTTAATATAAGCTGAAAATCAACTTTCTCCCTCACTTACCGCTTCAATGAAACTTCTATAAATAGTGTAAAACTATTTGATTAAAACGATGGTACTAGTTGTATTATGGGATATGGCATGTGAATGCAGCCAAAACAAAAGATCTCAGGGTTAGGGGTTGCAGGCCACCCACAATTCAGAAATCTGCATCTGTTGTTGCATTTGTTTATTTTTATAAAGTAAGATTTTCAAAATGGGAACAATAGCTGGTACCTCATAAAAATCTTTAACAAATTTTTGTTGGCTGACTCACCTACTAGAGGGCTCATGTACTACTTAAAACCTAGTTTTCTACCATACTTCATAAAGTACAACAGCCAGACCTTTAATTGGGAATTCAAGGTGTAGCCCTGTCTTGTGAGACATGGAAAACGTGGAGAAAGTGTTGTGAGGTGTGAGAGGTGAGTGCAGTGTCACAGAAGTGGGTCTCTGAGATGGGGAGGGAGGAGAGGCAGGAAGGCCAAGGGCCTTCTTTAAATATGCTGGGTCTTCATTGAAAGATGATGATCCAAATAACGACCTTGATGCACATGTTTTAAAAAGAGCATACTGCAGGTGCCTGGATCGTTTGAAATGAAAACCATTTAGTGATTCTAGAGAGGAGAAAGGGATGTCTTTTCAAATGATCGTTAAGAATGTATAACAACATCTAAACATGGAATAACCTTCCTTTCAGATTGAGTCTTCATGACCTCTCGATTGCTACATCATTAGCCTTTCTCTCATTCGTCGTCTCTCTGAATCTCAGCCTTTCTCAATGAGCATTACTGCTGTCCCCTTCTTGCCTAAACTGAAACCTGGCTCTCTCCTGAGGTCACGCTTCTCCTGCAACTCTCCAAGAGATGACCTTCTGTTTTTCCACATTCTGCAATCCTCAGGGCCAGTGGTGGGGTTGATAAAGGCTGTGGTCGCCCCCCTTTCCCCATCCTCTTCCAGAACTGAGCTTTCTCCACCCTTTTGTGAAAACCCTGCACCTTTCAGACTTGTGCCATTTGCCTCCCTTCTCCTCCACCTTCTCCGCTGCATTTTCCCCAAGTGGACAACTCGTCTCTAGTGAATTTCTGCCCTACTCTACTTCAGTCACCTGTATGTACAGGCTGACAGAGAAGAGCTTGTCATCACCCCTAACTGTGTCACCCATCCAGTGCAGCCTTCTCACCCACCCAGCCAGAGTGATCCTTTGACTTGCAAATTCACTTTCCAATTTTCTCCCTCTCTCCCAGGCCCTAGCCACTGGCTTATCCCCTAGATTACTGCAGTAACCCCCTGACTAGTTGTTTTTCCTTCTGCCACCTGCAGTCCATTCTTCGCCCAGCAACCAGAAGATCCTTTGACAATGTTAACTGAATCATCTCCCTCCCTTGTGTGAGTTTCCAGTGGCCTCCCGTTCTACTCAGAGCAATATCCACACTCCTTATCACGGCTTGTAGCTCACGTCCTGTCACTCTCCTGTGAGCACATTCTGGCCTTCTTGCTTAGTTCTGTGCCAAAGCCTCTGCAGTTGCTGTTCCCTCTAGTTGGGACCCCCTCCTCGCTAACCCCGGACCTTCAGGTCATATGCTGCCTCCTCAGAGAAGGATCATGGACCACCACCCTGCACACCCTTAAGCTCTTTTATCTGAAACTGTGTGTGTTTAACAGCATTTACCCTTGTCTGAGGTTACTGATTTATTTGCTTATATATTCATTGTTTTCTCTTCTAGGATGTAGGCTAGTGTGAGGATAGGGACTTTGTCTATGGTGTTCACCTCTGATTTCTCAGTACATAATAGTACCTGATACATATAAGACATTTAATATTTGCTGCATAAATGGATAGTGCATGCTCTCTCGCTCTGGCCTTTATATTTGTCATTCTCTTTCTCATCATACTGTTTTTATTTTTTAATTAAAATGTATTGATTGTACATGTTTCTGGGGTACAGAGTTGCATTTATTTAAGTACATGTATGTGATGTGTAGTGATCAAATCAGGCTAGTTAGCAAATTCATCATCGCAAACATTTATCATTTTTTTGTGATGAGACCATTTAAGCTCCTCTCTTTTAGCCATATGATAAATTATTGTTAATTATTGATGCCTAGCACTACTGTATACCACTAGAACTTCTTTTTCCTATCTAGCTGTAATTTTGTGTCCATTAACCAACCTTTACCTATCCCCCCTCCATTGTGATCAACATGGGAGTGCAGGTATTTCTTCAATGTGTTGATTTCCTCTCCTCTGTATATACCCAGTAGTGGGATTGCTGGATCCTCATCGTGCTTTCTGTGTTGATTTCCTCTCCTCTGTATATACCCAGTAGTGGGATTGCTGGATCCTCATCGTGCTGTCTTTTTCCCAGGGTACCTTGGAACTTCCATTGCTCACAGCACTGACTGTGTGGCATTTTGGTAGTTATTTATGTGAGGATCTCACAGTGAGTGTGTAGCTGTAACTTCAGGAGAACAGGGTGGGTGGGTCTCTTTCTTGCCCACTTCCTGGCATAATGCTTGGCACACTGGAGCACTCAAGAAATACATGTTAAGCAGATGAATCTCTTTGTAAATTTTCATGTGATTGACCAGCTTCTCCCCCTTTCCACTTCAGTGTCTCTCCTGATAATTTATCTACCTCCCTGACTGCTCTTGCTGGGGATTCCTTAAATGTAAGTGTTCTGTTAGATTCTGCATCTGGTCTACTTCTCATCATATAATCTGCTGAAGGATTATTCTTTCTGCTCCCTTAGCTTCAATTATCATTTCTTTGTGGATTGACCTCACATTGATATTTCTAACCTGACCTCTCTCCTGAATCATAGCTCTTTGAATTTCCATCTGCCCTCAAGTTCAAGACAGTCAAATCCTTTACCTGCCCACATGTATACCCTTGAGTTGTGCTTTCCTGTCACCTTCTCTAGTTAATGCCATCTACCTCGTCCTCCTCAGCATCTTTCTCTGAAGTCCCACATCCAGTGGGTTTCCAAGTCCTGTTGATTTGACCCAAGAAAATCATCTATCCATTGACTTCCTAGCTTCCCAGCTCCTCAACAAGTCTGACATACTACTTTCTTCTATAACTAAAGTAAAAGCCCTCCACCGTCTGGCTCCCATGTCTTCCACAGCCACAGTGCATGCTTCATCTTTTCTGGGAACATTCAGGTGGTTGATGAGGGCCCCTCATTATTGGGGTGAGTTTTGATGAACATGACCAGCCTGTAGATTTTTGCATTAAGGAGATGTAAACTGTTTTAACTTGGCTCTAATGCTTCCCTGCAGTTTGGACCAAGCCCCTATCCTTTGTGTGCCCACAAGTGCTTTCTCTTTGTATGTTTTTTGTAAACTTCTTACCATAAACAGAGCACATTCCCAAGCTCCATACCAAAGTAGAATGACATAATTTCCAAAATGGGTGTTGCCCTTGATAGCCCCCAAGACAGGCCCAGCTGCCTCCAAAAACATGATGTGCATTACAGCCTCGCCTCCCCACCCTGCACCTGACTTCACTGTTTTGAAATTAAAGATGAGTCTGTTAAGGGAGATGCTCTAACTGAACCTGCCTTTTAGAACCAAATGCTTTCACAACCTGAGGGCTTTCCCTGGGCTGGAACTGAAGATTGAGATGCTGATAGATGTTCGTAGGTGGGCTTTTGGGACTGTCACACACAGGACACTTTTTCAGGTTCCCATTCCATTTGTATTTACCAGAATCTGCAATTGTCAAATCTGATCCGGGTGTTAAAATCGGGCTTTATCTATTTTATTAAATTTTGGGGGCACATCTGCCATTTCAGCATCTAAGCCTAGAGACTTGTAACTCCTTAAAGCTTCATAATTTTGGCTTACTGATCTCCATTAATAAGTCACCCGCTTGGAATTAATTGACCTATAGGCAGAATCTCATCACAGGCCTCAGAATCACAGTGCAAGTTTATAGAGTGCTCCCCAGAGAGTAGGTGCTGGGCTTGGCACTGAGTATCTTACTTAATACTCTGTGAGGTGCTGGCAGGATTCTCTCCATTTTCAAGATGAGAACTAGGGTTCAGAGAGCCTAAGTATCTACTGATCTCATTACACTGAACAGTTAAGTGACATTTTTTATGTTCCCCTCTGCCTGTCTTTTCTCTTCTCCACTGCCTTAGAGCATACTCCTTCCATGTCAGTGCAGATGGTCAGATGCAGCCTGTCCCCTTCCCCCCTGACGCCCTCATTGGACCTGGAATTCCCAGACACGCTCGCCAGATCAACACACTCAACCACGGGGAGGTGGTGTGTGCGGTGACCATCAGCAACCCCACGAGACATGTGTACACAGGTGGGAAGGGCTGCGTCAAGGTCTGGGACATCAGCCACCCTGGCAATAAGAGTCCTGTCTCTCAGCTTGACTGTCTGGTGAGTGAACATGGATGAACAAGACTTAGACCCTCCTTCAGAAAACAGGAAGGGATGGTGAGAGGAGTGTGCGTACGAGCCGTCCCACACAGTATTGACCCTAAGTGGGTAGTTGGTCTTTGGTGGTTTGTGGTCTTTTACTTGGAGGCGTGTCTTCTTTCGGTTCCTTGAGGCAGAAGGATCCAGCTCTTCATGTGTGGCATATGCACCAGTGCCTCTCATGGGAATAGGCAAAATACCTGTTTTCCTATCTGATGAAGGGGTTTAAGAAAACTGAGAGCCCACACAACAGTTTCTATGAGAGTGCACCTAAATACCATAATCTGTCACATGTAGAGTGACTTACTACTTCATGTGACAAACATGAGATAGTCTCTTAGCTGTTTCATTGGCATTTGTCCTTGAGTTACTTAGGAAATTTCAGTTTGGTTTTCTTCCCTCATACCAGCAGTGGAATTTTTGCTGTAGCATGAGGCTATGTCAGTTTAACCGAGTTAAATGTACATAAGATCCCCATAACCTCATGCACTGGGAGGAGTTTTTTTTCTGTTACTTAGCACTGCTTGATTGAGTCTTGCCTCTGATTGATGCAACTTCATCAAACGCATGATGCCCTTTAGTCATATAATGCATGGCCGAGCAAAAGGAACAGTTTGCCGGGTGACTTTAACCCCTTGACACTCTCTTGGCAGCAGTAGCAGGACCTTTCAACAGCAGAGCTGAGTATGCCACAGTTCCAGGTTGGGATGCTCAGGACTACACAAGCTCCTGCATTAGTGTGCGGGTGTATCTGTGTGTGCAAATGACACGAGCAGTTGGCTAATTTGGTGGTGGTGGGAGTAGGTCTAGATCTTAGCATTTTGATGCAAATTAAGATTAAATATCTTAGTACTAAATTTTGTAGATCAAGTTTAAGTACTTCCCTAATTTCATGTAATTTTTTAGCATTAATCCACTTTATCATTGTCATAAGTATAAATGGCTCATTAAGCCAGGAGGGAACACAATACTTTTATGGATTTCTGCTCTCATGTTAATGCTGTTTTCCTTTCCTCATGAGTAATCTCTTGATGGTTTTTGTCTCTACAGAACAGGGATAACTACATCCGTTCCTGCAGATTGCTCCCTGATGGTCGCACCCTAATTGTTGGAGGGGAAGCCAGTACTTTGTCCATTTGGGACCTGGCAGCTCCGACCCCGCGCATCAAGGCAGAGCTGACATCCTCAGCCCCCGCCTGCTACGCCCTGGCCATCAGCCCTGATTCCAAGGTCTGCTTCTCGTGTTGCAGCGACGGCAACATTGCTGTGTGGGACCTACACAACCAGACGCTGGTGAGGTAGGTCAGCAGGATCCATTACCAGGTGGCAAGGAGGAGCTGACTTTACCACATCGTGCCAGAGTGCTGTATGTGTGTGTGTGTGTGTGTGTGTATGTATTTAAGTAGATGAAATATAATTATCTTACCAAAAATAAAAACAGATTGTTATTAAGAACAGGTTCATTTTAATGCTACAAATTATTAATGTAAAATCTTGTTTTCTGCACTATCTGAACTTCTTTTTTGTCTTTGAGGTCAGTTTGACATAATTAATGTACGTAAGGTTCCCATGACCTCATGAGCTCATTCGACTTCTCTAATTTGCCATCTGTGCTTGCTAACAAACCATTATTGTCACTAGATCCTCACTGAGGAGATTCGCAGTGTGTGGTACTGTCTTGGGTGCCATATGTATCATGTTTATTCTTTCAACAAGATAATTATTTAGCACCTGCCACAGGCCCAGGCACTGTGTTGGGTGCTGCTCACCCTAAATTGGTCTATCTCATCTGTAGTCCCACCTTTAAGGATGGATAAACATAACCACAGTGTCTATTTAGAAATGAAAACGTATAGGGTTGGCCTTGGTAGGTCGGTGTTGGTAGGTAAAGCCCTGAAATGAGTCTCCAGATGTCAACACCTAGGAGATCAGCAAGCATGAGGTATGATCAACCAAAGGGTATGAGAAGGTGTAATCAAACCTACAAGTCAAGGTGAGCATGTAAAGAGAAGAGGCTTGTACTGTCTGTAAGTTATTTTGAAGGACTGAGTTCTATATACGATTCCAAAAACAAATCACTTTTGTTGCTTATGGGTAAGGCTGTTATGAGGAACTGCTTCTAACCTCTTCTTCCCCCAGTATCCTTTGTACATTTGATCAGAAGTGATTCCTGGGGCAGCAGTTCACACTGGGCGTCTTGTGCCTTCTGTCCTGCACAGCTGAGGAACTGCTTCTAACCTCTTCTTCCCCCAGTATCCTTTGTACATTTGATCAGAAGTGATCCCTGGGGCGGCAGTTCACACTGGGCGTCTTGTGCCTTCTGTCCTGCACAGCCCCCCACAGGTGCATTGCTCCTTGCTAGCAGGATGTGCTATGCCCTTCCCTGGGCTTTCCCCAGTCCTTTGCAGAAGGGAGTTAAATTCTTTCTCTCCTTCATATTACAGTGATAGAATATGTCTCAGAATACATCTTTGATTAGTTCATTATGTGTAGTTGTGTGCTTTCTTCTGTTCATTTCAGTTGGAGATTTTTTTTCATCAGTAATATCAATCATGTTTTCGTATAAGAGTATTTTGAAGAACTTCCTAAGTTTTCAGAAATAAACACAAAGTACAGGAAACTCAGCATCTCAATTAAACTTTAATCTTTTTGTATATGTTTTGTTATTACTTTGAATGATTAGAAAACATAGTAAACCAAAATGAAATATACAAATAAGGCCTGAATTGAAATTGATTGCCGAGGAGTTGTAAATGAAGTTAAACTAAAAACTCACTTTTCAAGGGCTTTCCCTCCATTTTGACATTTTCAGGCAATTCCAGGGCCACACAGACGGAGCCAGCTGCATTGACATTTCTAATGATGGCACCAAGCTCTGGACAGGCGGTCTGGACAACACAGTCAGGTCCTGGGACCTGCGGGAAGGGCGGCAGCTGCAGCAACATGACTTCACCTCACAGGTATGGTCTTGTGTGCCTGTGACTTTTTAGAGACGTGGTTTTTCGAAACTTAATGGCCTGCTCAAAGAAGGGGGCAGTCCACTTGCCATATGATAATGTCACATTGACTCTGGATTACTTTGGGGGTCTCATTACTTTGGTATCACTTGTTTGACTTCAGTTTCTTCCTGTGTAGTTCAAATTATCTTGATTTCTTTCATAAGTTGAGTGGTATCCCCAGAAAAGACAGTACCTCACTGTGCAAGGAAGCATGTCCTCTGTAGCTGTCATCAACATTGCCTTTTAAAATTCTAGATCTTTTCTTTGGGCTACTGCCCAACCGGAGAGTGGCTTGCAGTGGGGATGGAGAACAGTAACGTGGAAGTGTTACATGTCACCAAGCCAGACAAATACCAGCTACATCTTCACGAGAGCTGTGTGCTGTCGCTCAAGTTTGCCCACTGTGGTAAGCAAGCTTTTTTGTCCATTTTCTGTCAACCAGAATTGTTCTGTCTGCCCTCCTGTTTATTCCACATCAGGTCCTGTACATTAATGTGTCCCTCTTCAGAATTGTATTATTCCCTTATACATGCCTGCTTCCTTACTGCTGTGTAATTCTGGCATTAATCCACTTTAATTTTTATCATTAAGTATAAATGGCTCATTAAATCCAGGAAGGTGGGTGAGTTTTCTGTGAATAGTTTGATGCTTTGTAAAGCAAATCTCGGGTGTCTGACAAAGTAACACGAACATTACCTTTCTCAAAACCCTCTTCCTGTAGGCAAATGGTTTGTAAGCACTGGAAAGGACAACCTTCTGAATGCTTGGAGGACACCTTATGGGGCCAGTATATTCCAGGTAACCCTGAACTTATTCATCTACCACTTAAACCATGTGCTCACTTGCATGGCAGTTGTTACACAAAACTCTTATGCGTTCACTCAGATTAATAATGCACTTACGTGTCCCAGGAGGTCAGAACTGGTACTGTTCCCATTGTGCAGAGAAGGAACCTGAGCCTGAGGGAAGTTAAGTGTTGCAGGATGAGCCTGGAGCCAGGGCTATACCTGGTGCACTGCTCACCGGCTCCTCCTCCGCCTCCATCCATTTTTATACCTTAGGGTGGAGGTGTTGTCTTCTGTGAAGTGTGTGTGTGTGTGTGTGTGTGTGTGTGTGTTGTCTTTTTATTCTTCCTATTAGCTCAGTAGAATTTAGTATAGTTTGTGAAATTATTTGTAGAAGGACCAAATTGTAGACATGGTGCACACACACAATATTTTCTTCTCTTTCTTACAGTACATGAGAATTTCATAGGCAAGTTAAAGACATCAGTTTTAACCTTCTATAATTAACGCATTATTTTCTAGTGCTCTTTTTTTAGGAATAGTGTAAAAGTTTCCTTGATCAAGTGGTATAAGTTATCATAGAGTATATTAATTCAGTAGAATCAAAAAATTTATATTGACTGAAAACACTATGCAAGATAATTAGTAGGATAAAAATAGCTAATTATTGCTGTCATGGAGCTTATAATTTAATACAGAACTTTTCATTTTGTGGATCATAACTTTTTAGATGGTCCCAACAAAAGCACTCATTTAAGATAATGAATTAAAAAATATTAGAATGCATCTTTTACAGTAAGTATAAGTATTTTATCTTATGTATATACTGGGATGTGAATACAAATTATTATCAGTTGCAATCAAAAAAGTTTGAGAAACACCAGGAGTAGGTTAGCAGCTGCATATCGTATATTTAATTTTTAAGTGTTCAAAATATTCAGAGTCCTGGTTAAAATCGTATGATTTTTTTTATTTTTATTTTTTAAATAAGCACATTGAAAGTTAACATTGAATTCTTCATAGTGTAGTTGCAAATGGTAAACAAAACTCTAAGTCTGATGTGTTTTTCTTTCCAGGTATTAAACCACCTGCCTTCTTGAAAGCTCATGTTATATTTTTACAGTGGGAACATTAAGCTTTTTACTAGGAATATTTTCACATTCCCCATCTTAAAAAATGTTGTGTTTTCAGAGCTGTTTCCCATACTTATACAGTCATGCATCCCTTAACAGTTAGGATACATTCTGAGAAATGCCTCCTTAGGTGATTTCATCACTGTGTGAATATCACAGAGTGCATTTACACAAACCTACATGGTATAGCCTACTACACAGCTATACTACATGGTATACTCTCCGTTATAATCCCATGGAACCATCATCATATATGTGGTCCATTGTTGACCAAAACGTCATCATATGGTGTCATGGCTGTTACTGCACCTAAACTCTGCTGCATCCCTCTCAAGTGGTAGGCAAGAAACATGTCTTTACCTATTTGCCTCTGTAGGGAAACTGAGGCCCAGACGGGTTAAAAGACGTAGTGTTCTGCAGCTCTACCCGAATCCAAGCCACAAGTGGTAGGCAAGAAACATGTCTTTACCTATTTGCCTCTGTAGGGAAACTGAGGCCCAGATGGGTTAAAAGACGTAGTGTTCTGCAGCTCTACCCGAATCCAAGCCGTCTGGCTGAAATGAGGGTTTTTCGTACTAACAACACCCTCCTCTTAACCTCTGTGGAGAGTAGAGTTTGAAGTATGGCCTTGTTTCGTCAGCAGAGGTGCTCATACCACTGACTAGCCTGCCTATCTGAAGTCCCCAGGGCAAGAGCCTCCAGACTGACCGGGCGAGGAGTCCCCAAGAGTGGGTCCCATCCAGTGCCACCATTTTAAGAAAGCGCTGTGATTTCCCTTCCCCACGGGGGCTACTGTTGGTCGTTGGAGCATGTTACATTTGCGTTGTTCCAAGTCCTCCAATCCTGCCTCCCAGTGCGCATGGGTTTTTCTTTCACTATTTAATAGTTTTGATTATATGTTTCCTTCCTATATGTTTCTTTCCTAGTCCAAAGAATCCTCATCGGTGCTTAGCTGTGACATCTCTGTGGATGACAAATACATTGTCACTGGTTCTGGGGATAAGAAGGCCACAGTTTATGAAGTTATTTATTAAGGACAAATCTTCATGCAAACTGGACTCCTTCTCCTTGTAGCACTTTGCTCCGTCATCCTTTCTGTTCACCCCCTACCCCGCATCTAAAACCAAGGATTTCAAATACTCATTGCAGTCATGGAGTTTAATCCCCTTCCTTAACCCCATTTCCTACTTGCTGTTGAATTGTGAATACTCATTAAGAATCTGTGATACCAAATCTTCAGCTATCTACTTGGAAGAACATGGCATAAACATACTTAACAGTGAACGGAAACTTTAATTATGTATTATATCTGTAATATATTTATTTTGTTTAAAGAAGGCTTTCTAACAATGACTGACTAAATAAAGCTGTCTGCTCCTGCATTGATAATGAAGTGTTGTATTTGATACCCCTCCCCCCCTTTTTTTGGCAAAGGAGGGGAAAGGAAGGTTTAAAGTAATTGATTAAAAATGTCACTAAATGTAGACTAATGACTGTATAGAGATGTGAAATGTATAATTACACATGGAAGCAATATGTTGCTGTGTTATTAGGTTTTTTCGTTTTCTACTTATTTTAAAGACATTTGGAAATTTGGCTGAATAATTAGAACACGACAAGCCAAGTCATATTCATTTGAGTCTATTTAGACAACTTTAACACAATATATCTATAGCTTTAGATTATATTCGATAAAAATAATTGGACTTTCTTTTTCTTTTTTTGACTTGTTGACAAGTGTCTTTGTAATATGTTTTTAATTCCCCTTTTTTATTGTATTATAGATAGATGAACAAATTAAATTTGGCCTCAAAGAGAGAACTTAATCCCTTCTGGATATTTTTGCCACGTTTCTTTGCAAAGGGAGATGTATATCTTTGGGCAGTTTTGTTGTTACGAGAAATTAGGGGCTATTTTGTGGCATGCTCTTTGGAGCTGCATAGATACGGAAAAGACTCCCACCGCTGTGCTAGTCAAGTCTTTTACAAAACAAGGACAAACAGAGGAGGGTTTTCAGAGACCTCCCTCTAAAAAACACAAAAGAATGGACTCTCTCCTGGGATGAGGACTTGTTTTCTTTACCTCCGGTTCTTTCCATGTCTTAGTTGGATGTCCCTGAAATGGACACAAGCTGTGCCATTGTGCCAGAAACATTGTGTTATCTTTTATGTTGTTGTTGTTGCTGTTAAACTATAATATGTGACTCCTTTTTTTTTAATTATTATTTTTTGTTTGAATGCTTTAAAAATCTTTTTAAGTCTGTGGATCTGCTGATGTACAGTGCCTTTGCTGCTATGGATCAAAATCAAAAGAACCGTGTAGATAAACTTTATTGTATAAGTAGAAAATTACTTAATTTCATACTAGAAATGGATGGATGCTGCAAGTGGAAATGGACTGTCCATTGACGTTCCTAATGTGGTAGCAGAAAAAAAATGGTGTCTTAAGTGCTTAGTGTTGATGTCATTAACAGTTTCGTAAAACTCTCCAGTGTAGAAAGATTTTGATACTAAACTGTGCATTGTACATAGTTCTAATGCATTGTATTGACCACCAGTACTTCTATAATGGTAGATTGTTTGTGCATTCAGACTTTTAAGCATTAAACATAAATAACTTCTAGTATGTTTATTTTTCTAATTCTTTGTTCTGCTTGTTTTAGTTTATTTTTTATCTTTATGCCTCTCCTATATATTAAAAATTACTAGTTTTATTCAAGGCAGATTGGTGTTAAAATAATGTGGGGTTTTTTTATCGTTGCTATTTTTGTTTTATTTTTATTTTCACTTGAGAGAAGCTAGAAAGGATAGGGGATAGAGGTTATCAATGACAGGTTGCTACCAAATATTTATTGAGCATCTCTTTGATTTATAAAAACACTGTCTGTCAAAAAGTTGTCAAGTCACTCAAACCTTGATGCTTTAAAGCTGCGTTATTCAATATGGTTACCAGTAGGATATTACCACCATTGTGGATATTTAATTTTAACTTTATTAAAATTAAATTAAGATAGGAATCCAGTACACCAGCTACACTAACTACATTTCAAGTGTTGAGTAGCCGCATGTGGCTAATGGCTACTGTGTTGGATTGCACAAATTTACAGAACATTCTGTCATTGCAGAAAGTTCTGTGGACAACACTGCTTTAAAGTTAGCCCACACAGACCATCGCCAGCCATTTGGGTTTGGGAAACATTTCCATTGTAACACACTAAACTGTTTAAAAGCACCAGACTTCTCGGGCTTCTCCTGGTTGGGTGTGTGAAGATTCAACATAAGGAGCTTAAATTAAGAATTCTTAATTCCTGAGACCCCAAAATATGACATTTTAAGCATCTACTGAATAGAAGGCGGGGGTTTGGGAGCCCCCCAGTGGTCTGGAGTGTTCAGCTGTAAGAGGTGCTAGCTTTTTAGCTGCTGAGAGAGTAGAGGTCAGCAGCATTCTTCAGTTGGATTAGAAACCGTACTTTCAATGTGAGTACCATACATGCTGCTACGTCAGATGATGACATACAAGTCAGTCAAGGCCAGCCTAAAAATTAAAAATCAGAAAATATGGGGGAAAGTGATTTTCAAAAGTACCCCGTAGGCAGGATGGTGGGGGTTTTGTTGGACCAGAAGAGAAGAATGTGGAATATCTGCTATGTGCGTAGCACTGTGCTGGCTTCTGTTACGTGTTCGTCATCTCTACGGCATGATCTCAGATTTTCGCAGCTTGTGTTCCAAAGATTTAGCCAAAGGGAAAAGTGGGTCTGAAGAAGGGACTGATGCATTGAGTGCGTCTGTACACGTTTGCATCAGGTATTAATCAGTTTTTGTGTTGCTATAACAGAATACCTGAGATTGGGTAGTTTATAAGGAAAAAAGATTTATTTGGCTCATGATGCTGGGACAGCTGTGTCTGGTGTGGGCCTCAGGCTGCTTCTACTTGTGGCGGAAAGTGGCAGGCAGCCAGCGTGCGCCAGGTTCCTTTTAACAACCAGCTGTTCCCAGAAGTAACAGCGAGAACTTACCTCCCTCACCTTTCCCCCTCAGAGAGTGCATTAATCTATTCACAAGGGATCCACCTCCAAGACCCAAGCACCTCCCACTAGATCCCCTCCCAACACTGCCACATTGGGGATCAGATTTCAACATGAGTTTTGATGGGCCACATATCCAAACTATAGCAACACTGGAAAACTTGTGGCATCTAGGAGTGAAGCAGGAGATGGTGGTTAGCCGAGTGAAGCACAGAGATCAGAGCTGACCTTGTGGATTGACAGAGTGGACCAGACATTGCCCTAACTGGAACGTCTGATTTATGGGTGGCTTTGAAGAAGAGAAGGTGGCGATCCCTCATAGAGTGGCATCCCAAGGGCTGGACAGCAGCAACACGGTGGCCTCCGTGGAGCTCTTCACTTCTCACGGGGGACACAGTGCCCCTTCCCCAGAGCAGGAACTGTGTTCAGCTTCTTCCCTCTAGGGCCCAGCTTTGGTACTGGGGCTTATTGCATATCGTTTATCATAGTGTTTGATGCATTTGGGGGATTGGGAAGGTAGTGAGGAAGTTTTATTTCTGTAAATGTAAGTTCTTTCCATTTTTAAAGTATTCCTTGATCAATGTGTGTATCCTCATTAAAATGTTTTAAGAAGTGATGTAGCTTTGGGGTAAAATACAGCTTTGGCACAAAAAGTATGACACATGCACAGTGTGTTTACACTTCTGTAAGGAGGAAGTACCCGCCTCAAGGAACTAGAATTCCCATTTGGTATCTGACAGGTCAAGTCTTCTGTTCTCTCTTTAGAGAAATACAAAACATTGGCTGTTGGACTAGCTTTAAAAAATGGAGATGAATGCATACATGGACCTAACGTTTTAAAATAAATAGGGCATCTATTTCCTCTTGTTGCCAAGGTTTTATCAGATTAATTTTTGTATCTACATGGGTATTTCAAAAAGATCATAGAAAGCTTCATATCATCCTTAAATTTTATTTTTCCACGTACCTTTTGAAGTACCCATGTATATGTAAATCTCAGGCCTGGCTTGATCTGTACAGGAGGTTGTTGATGTAATTATAATTTTAAAAGTAATTTCAAAAAGATCATAGAAAGCTTCATATCATCCTTAAATTTTATTTTTCCACGTACCTTTTGTAGTACCCATGTATATGTAAATCTCAGGCCTGGCTTGATCTGTACAGGAGGTTGTTGATGTAATTATAATTTTAAAAGTAATTGCTTAAACTCAGTTCTTAGGTTTAGTATAGTTTTTGCTCCAAGTATAGTTTTACAAAGTCTGAAGAACAGTATAGATAGCAATCACCCTGAACCAGGAAAAACTTGGTTCCATTGAGAGAATAGAGTGGTATGGGAGACTGACGTAAGCAGAACTATCGAGACAATAGAAGGAAACCCAGATTAAAGAAGCCATCAAGACCTTCCTATAATGGGTGGATCAAATGGAGAGTGACACACTCCAAGATCTTAGAGTTTTTGTGGATCACACCTCACTTCACGCCACTACTTAACAAGGTGGCTTCATGATCAGTGAGCTGCAAGAGCTCCAGCCTTCCTGGAATGGTGTGTGCTGAGACTTCAGCTGCAGCCCCATAACACCTGCAAGTGGTTGGAATTACACAGCCATGGGATTTCCAGAAAGTCCGTTTTAAACCATATCTCGCAGTCATGAGATTCTAGGACCCCGCAGCCAAGAACGAGAAATCAATGTCCCTCCACCAGCAGGTGGAATTCTGGACAGAGGAGCCGTGCACATGCCAGCCTTTGGAGCAGCCACAGCATTCAACTCAGCTACTACTTGCATGCCTCGGTCTCGACATCCTTGCACTGGTGCTGTCCTAGAAACAAAATGTTGAACTTTGGGTAATTGGTATTTCTGGCAGTCAGAAGGAAATTTGTTCTGAGACTGTCCAGCATTGAGGAAGCAATTACACAATTATAAAAATGTTGGTACCAAAAAGTATATTTCTTTGGTATTCTTGGATGCTCTTATTTCCGAAGCTACCTAGCTCCTGGGCAACTTGCAGAGTGGCTTTCCACAGTGAGCTCTGGGTCCTGCAGTGCCACAGCTTCTCATTGGAGTGTCAACAGTAGAACTGCAGCTGGTGACCATCCCCATTCTTTGGAGCTAATTGCATTTATTTACCTTCCGGTTCAAACTTACATTCATAACTGACAGTGGAAAGGGCTCATTTTTTTTTTTTTTCCTTTTTGTCTTTTTTCATGACCGGTAATGGGATCGCAACCCTCCGTGTTGCGCCCGCACCGCGACCGGCAACGGGATTGCAACTCTCGGTGTTGCGCCCGCACCGCGCTCAACCAGTGAGCGGACCAGTCTCTATATGGGATCCAAACCCTCGGCGGGAGCGCCGCCACACTCTCAAG